GCTACACCCATATGGCACCATCACCAAGAGAGCAACATGAAGAACTAGCTTACTGAGCAAACAACGGTGTGACCCCAGCCAGTTGCAGTGGTTATTTGGGCCAGGGTCTGTTTGTGACCCATCATTCCTAAACTTCCATCAATGTAATCCAGAGTTCCTTTTCACAAACAGCCAAAGAGAAACTAATCATGTTTCAACAGAATCAGTGGAGACACGTGCTTAGATTGTTACCCAAACAATAAAGTTGATTTGGAAAGTGGTCTTGATAGAATGGGCCTCTAACTGCCATTGATCTCCAACGGGTTTTAGTCCACTGAGGAAAAGGCTGTGGTATTGAATCCCTATATTATACCACCTCATTTATTTACAGTGGGGGGGCATGATTCAGTGATGGAATAATGTGTGATTCAGCATGTTTTTATTGAAAAGTGTCATATGAATTAACAGGTAAACCTTTGCTTATAATCTATGAGAAGTCACCAATGTAGAACTTTATCAAGTAGATTCTAAAGCCTGCCACCATAATCTGTGATTATTGTATCAGCAGAACACATGTTCTTATAGTATCCTCATTTCCTCAGTTTTGTCTCTTATTTATACAGGTGAAAGTTGTTTTTTTCCATGCTAGCAAAAAAACAAACCAAAACCCAGAAGCTTCACTGGTGACGCAGCCAGTCATCCTATAATAAATCAAGTTGATCAACTAAGAATGCCCCATAAAACATCACCTCCTGCATAACTAGCCACACACAGAAAAAGCGTAACATACAGCTACGTCCAACAGGCTTTCCCAGACTATTGTAGAAGACTCTAAAGTAAACCAACAGATGGGTGATGGATTTTCCAGGATGACAGTAGTAGGAGCCATAGAAGGGGGAGCGGGGTGGAGATGGAAAGAAGCGTGAGAGGAAATGAGAGAAGTGAAAGTGAGATCTAGAATGTCACTGAATGGAAAGCCCCATATTTCACTCTGGTACTGTAGGCATTTGCTTGCTTTGCTAAAAGCATTGTAAACCTGCCGGTTGAAATACTGATGTTGCTGGGCTTTTGTGAGGCTGTGGAAAATGTCACATAAATCACAATCACTCCAGTGAACCCTCTGCCAAAGGGAAGGTAATGGTGGGAAACCAGCGAGGAATGGTAAATGTGATGTAGTGGCTGGACAGAGGCAGCGTTGAAAGGGAAAGTTTTAAAAGTGCTATTTACTTCTCTGACTAATGGTTGACCTAGTAAGGAGGTCACAGTGGCCTGGTTCATATGACAGGGAGAGTCAAACTACACGGAAGGATGCATGAATCTGTCGCATTTTGGTTTCTCTTTGTTGCTCATTTTTTTCAAATCTTAAATTCAGTTCTCCACTTTCTGCATCTAATTTTCAAATTTATTTTTTTAACCCTCATGAAGATTCATCAACTTTTTAGTGTGAATTTTTCCTAATAAACACATTTTTGTCTGCAATTTTATTTAATACACACATTTTTGCACGTCGTTTCCCCTATTTAATGCATTGTTGTGTTATTTTTATGAATATACACATTTTTATGCACACCCCCCAATATATGCATTTATTTTTAATTATTTTACACATTGATTGGAGAACTGCATTGCAAAATTTAGAGTAGTGCCAATTTCAATTCACACATCATTTCTGGAAGTGAGAATTAGGTAGCTTTTTGTTAAATTGAGAATCAATTGCTCTTCCCTGGCCCTTTTTACTGCTGCATTGAGCTAAGCCAAAGTTTGACCCATCAGACATTCTCCAGGAGCCTGCACATTTTTGCAGCCCTTGTAAGCCATAGTTTGGCTTACTGCACCCTGCAAAACAGACTATGGATGGATATCTGACAGGCCAAAGTCAGGGAGAAAGTGTTGTTTTCTATAGCAAGTTATAGCTGGGGAGTACTGGGACGACATTCTGGAATACTTAGTCAGGGACCATTGGTGGAGACCCTGTGCTTTAGGTTATGAGTAGATTCTGAGGGATGCTACCTTAAACAAGTCAGATACCTGCACCTTTATAAGGAAATCATGCTATAACCTTCGAAGCTGGACAACTGATCATATATTCATCTCTCTCCTCCATTTCTGATGTCCATCACAGTCACATTCCTGTGAGGAATCCAGTTTGCACCTCTGCCCTCATGATGGATAATGGGCTGCTGCCAGGCCAGATCTAGACCCTGAAGCAGTTTTATCTGGCTTGTCAGGCAGACTTGACACAGAAGTAAAATTTTGCAACAAAAAAATTTGCAGTCCTTTACAGTATTAGCATATGTTTTATACCATCAGCATCCCGCTCATTGTCTGGAAAATACATCAGACCCTGAACATGAAGAAGTTAGCCACTCCTTCACCCCCACTTAATGTATTGACGCTAAAATTGCCAGATGTCTGGACATGTAGAAACCGTTTAGATCCGTTCTATTTTTCCAAGCACAAGAAGTTAATGGGCCAAATAAACCTTAAATCAAAATTTGGCTCTTGATTGGCTTTCTCCCCACACCTTTTTCAATACAATAAGTACATCTCAATCATGTCCTCCTTGACTTTTTGTAAACTTAAAAATCTCTACATGCAAAGTTTTTAGACTCTCCTCATGTGGTGGGTACTCCAACCTCTTGATTATTTACTTGCCTGCTCTGTATCTTTCTCCTGTCCTTTAGTATTCATTTGGAGCGAAATACAGGCACTCCACCAATTTATGTAACAGCATTGTGATAGGGATTATTTTTTTAGGGGATCAAATATAAAGCTAAGATGAGATTTATGTTTCCCCACACACTGCCACTACGTGAGCTACTGTTCTTCATGAACTTTCCATTCTGACTCCAAGATCCCCTTCCTGAATAGTCACAGCCAAGTTAGACTTCATATATTAGGATTTTCATGTCCCAGCAAGCATCACTTTGGACCTCCTTGCACTGAATCACATTGCCCATTCTACTGCCCATTTGCTCAGTTAGAAGAAAGCTTTCACACACTGCTTGGGTTTTCACCATCCTGAGTAGTTTTGTGTCATCTTCTACACTTTTGTTCACCTCTGACTCTGAGTCCTTCATGATTAAGTTAAACAGCATGGATCCCAACACAGATCATTGGAAGACCTCATGGGTGATTTTCATCCATTGTTAGTAATACACTTTTATTCTTAGTCTTAGTTTTCTGTTTTTAATGCTTTAATGTTGGAACCTTCTGGTAACATTTTGTAGGAGTCATTTGGGAGGAAGATGATATAGAGGCAAACACCCCCCCAAATACCGTATTTTTCTCTCTATTACACGCAGATTTTTTCTCCTAAAAAGGAAGGGGAAATGTCTGTGCGTGTTATGGAGCGAATGTGTGTGTGTGTGGGGGGGTCCCTGGAGCCGATTAGGGGAGCGCAGGAACAAAAATCAGCAAAAATCAAAGCGCGTTGTGTCGGAGAAGGGAAACCTGAAAAGAGGAAGTGGTTGCTTTCCTGCATTCTGCCTCAGGGTCTTACTGCCCACCCTCCTCTGTTTCGTTGCTGTGTTTGCTCAAACGGAACAAAGAGCAGGCAAATCCCCTCCCCTCCAGGCAAGCAGAGGGGAAAGCAGAGGTCTTTCCTTTTAATTCCTCTCCGTGCTCCTCGCAGGCAGCCAGAAAACATGCAGGAGGAGAGAGAAAGCTGGCTTCGGTTTGTGGAAACTTTTGCCTTTTTTTCCTACCTCCCGTTAAATCCCTCTCCTGCTTTCTTAGCCAGCTGCTTCTCTGCACACCGCTCTCTTGTCCCTTCTGTGTTTTTCCTTCACTCCCCACTTAAAATGTAGTTACAAAGCATGGATCCACATGGATCCTCATGATCTTTGCATTGGGCCACCCCAAATTCACCATCAGATCACATAGCAGCCTGCCCCCCAAAAATCACACACCCACTGTTGCCTGGGGCTGCAATGGTGCAAAAATGTGGTTAAAAAGCATGGATCCACATGGATCCTCAGGATCTTTGCATTGGGCCACCCCAAATTCACCATCAGATCACATAGCACCCTGCCCCCCAAAAATCACACACCCACTGTTGCCTGGGGCTGCAATGGTGCAAAAACGTGGTTAAAAAGCATGGATCCACATGGATCCTCAGGATCTTTGCATTGGGCCACCCCAAATTCACCATCAGATCACATAGCAGCCTGCCCCCCAAAAATCACACACCCACTGTTGCCTGGGGCTGCAATGGTGCAAAAACGTGGTTAAAAAGCATGGATCCACATGGATCCTCAGGATCTTTGCATTGGGCTACCCCAAATTCACCATCAGATCACATAGCAGCCTGCCCCCCAAAAATCACACACCCACTGTTGCCTGGGGCTGCAATGGTGCAAAAATGTGGTTAAAAAGCATGGATCCACATGGATCCTCAGGATCTTTGCATTGAGCTACCCCAAATTCACCATCAGATCACATGTCTGTGGCCACAGCATGAAGCACAAAAATGATACATCCACTGTTTCATTCAGAACTTTTTTCCTTGTTTTCCTCCTCTAAAAACGATGTGCGTGTTATGGTCAGGTGCGTGTTATAGAGCGAAAAATACGGTATATACTGTCCACTGGATCACATATGTCTCTGTTTTCCTACACAGAGCAAGAAGTTGGGCAGGCGATGTTCAAGGTCCCTTCCATCACTATCATTGTATGATTTTACATTTTGACTGGACAATCTAAATGTGTCTTGTTCCAAAAGTTTAGTGAGGCAAGAATTCCATTTACAGAAGTCATGCTGATTCCTCCTCAGCAAAGTTAATTTTTCCATGTTTTCAGAATTCTAGCTATAATAAATGTTTTCTGCCAATTTTAATTTATGAGGGTTTTCTGTCATCAAGTATTCTATTTTACCTTTGTAACTTTACATGAATTTTCAAAACCCGCAGAGAACTGAAATGTTCAGTACTCTAATATAAATCCAAATGCCTAATAGAAAATATTCAGTCCCTGAGATCCCTTCCTGGTCCAAAACATGCTGGAGTGAAATTTATTTCTTACCTCATCTCCTATGAGAAATTCATCATCAATTGTAAAGGTAATGGACTCAGTGGGGCTGAGCCACCATACAGGTCGAAAAATAGGGTATCCTACAGAGAGCCACTCCTTGCTGTATTTTTCAACAAGAGGCACCACAAAACTCTGATGTGTCTGAACATAGTGCCTGGTGAGATTCAGCACCTGAAAGAAAGGAAGTTCAGCATATTATTTAAATACGCTGTGGAAAAGACAATAGAGAAGCAGGTATTTTAGTTTGATTTATGTTCTCCCAAAGGGAGTAGATACAGAGGGTGGAATTCAATGTCACACTCTTTTAATCATTCCATCTGCACAAGCATTGCAGGGATTCCACCCTCCCCCACACTGTGTGTTGTAATGGAGGTTCTCTCAACTGAGCCAATTTCAGAGTGTGCACAGGGGAAGGAAGGGGGGGGGGAGGAGCTGTGTTGTATAAGCAAAAGTCCTTGCACAGGTCTTCTCCTGACAGGGATGCCTAGGTGAATCCAACCCAGAGTAGCCAATAAAATATGACTTTAGTGGTATTGTAATCCCAGCCTATCTAAGTCTCTCATCCTTCAGCTTGGATGAAAACCATCTCTTCAGTCTCTTATCGTGCTAGTCTTTACTACCACTACTCCTGTAGCCAGCATTGTGTCGAGAGGAGGAGAATGGCAGCAACCACAAACAAATTGGTATAGAATATTTAGAGCAAATTCTGTAAGGTGGCCTTCTTTTTTCAGAAAACTGCCTTCTTTGAAGTTTCAGCTGAGCTCTAGAACATAGCTAAAGGACTAAGAGAGCATAGCTAAAGGGCTAAGATAAGAAGATTAGTATAAACAGAATTAATAGTGGGAGAAAGAATGTGAAAGGGGAATTAGAAAGGAGAGATGGGGCACACAGCATGAAGCAACTAGGAGGAGGGGGTAATTTGAACTGATTAAGAGAAGCAAAAAAGAAGACTGTGAATGGTAGAATGCCATGAGCAAGGTATGCAGCAGAGTTTAGGGCTGAAATAAGAATTTAAGATGAGGTATAAGAAAGCCCTGGTGATAGCTGAGGCAAGAAAGTACAAGAACTTGAACCAGAGTTTCTATGAAGAAGAAATATATTGCAAGATCTGGCACCAGAATCTTTTGCTGACGAACAACACAGAGGCAAATTTCTCTCCCCCTCCCTTTCTCCATAACACACACCCACACCCATGTGCAAAACTGAAGCTCACAGCCAGCCCTACCTTTGGGCAAAGTGAAGCAGCTTCCCTAGGCAGCAATTACAGCCACCTTGCTGATCCTCCTAAGCCCCTATGTTAGAGGACAGAGCTATATATGCTACATGGCATGTCCTGGCCCCCATAAACTGACTTGCTATCTCAGGTGTGGCAGAGGACCCTGTCCTACCACCAGTGTTAGATTAAGATTCAACTGCTGGTCCAGTTAGCTTCTGTATGTGAAATGGACCATCTTGTCCTTCACCTCAGGCAGCAAAATGCCTTGGTCCAGTCCTGGATGAGAGTACTGATGATGTGTCAAGGAAGATGGAAGTGATGATTTCAGAGAAGACATACAGAGTATACTGTTTAATCCACCTTAAACTTTGGTGGTGGTGAATCATCCAAAATGAGACATTGTGGAGATAAAAAATATTAGTAAGAACTGAGGGAGAGAATTCGGGAACCAAGAGAGCAGAATATTATCATTAGCATACCAGTGGTAGTTGATATACCTACCCAGTCATCACAACAGACCCACGGTGGAGTATGGAAAGACATCACAGGAAGGAAAGTCACAATCTGCAGCCATCTAATATATAGCTCTTCATCAATCAGAAATTCATTTGCAAGACTTCCTCCTGCACAGCACAAACAAATAAAAATGGTTGGGCAATAGGAAAACCGTTATAAATATTTAGAATTCAACTTTAATCTTTGATCCAGTAATTTAGGAATGACCAGGTTATATTAATGATAAACCCTGAGATTTGTAACAAGGCCTCTGTGTGCTCTTGTATAGTCAAGGTGCTATTGAAACACTGCCCAGTCACCACCAGGCCTCATGTATCTCAGCCTCTCCTGCACTGCACTGCACTGGGTCTTCTGGCAGTGGCGTCTGCTGCATCCACTGCAGAATGCCAACTCTGCCTGTAGTGAAACTTCCCTGGATAGCTTTAAGGGGAGGGCCACTGCAATAGACTTCAGTTGTGCTATTGCGGCCATTGCTGAGATGATGATGATGATTATTTATATCCAACAAAATATTAAAATACAATAGTACAAAATATTAAAATACAATAGCTTCATCCCAGGGCTCTTCCAGACAGCCAGTTAATTGAGCTTTCATCCTGATACAGGTGCACAAAATCTGCATGAATGTTTTACAACACTGTTCTTTATTGAGACTTCATGCTGCTTTATTTGTGTGCAAGCTACATGCCACAATCACTTTTCTTATCACGAAAATTCCAGGGGGGTTGGAAGCAGGTTTGCGGCACAAGAGCACCACAACCACTTTAATTGCACAATCTAAATTTGCTGGTTTACAGCTAGGGGGTCATTATATGTTGGTCTATCCAGCTCAATGTTGTCTTCATTGTCCGGCAGCAGCAGTCTGGGGTCTTGGAAAGGAGCATTCCCATTTCTACCTGGTCTTCCTCCATACAAAGCAGATGGCCTACCATTGAGCTATGGCCATTCCCCACAAAAGAGTGACAGCTTGGAAATGGCTTCTGTCTCCTATTTGCTGGTACAGGAGCCAATAAGATCCAAAGGGAGAAAGAAGAGGCTAGAGAAGCCAGCGTTGTTCAAAAAGACACATGCCAGATGCTTAAACAGTCTCGACGGCTCAAAGCAAATGGAACTGAAGAATGGCCTGATCCAACTCACATTTTGGCATTCCTGGCATTCTGGAAACACAAGTTGTAGGAAGAATTTCAAAAGCAATGGGAAAGTGGGGTGGCGGGGGGTGGCGGGGGGGGGACACTGAGTATATTGAGATTTCACAGAGAAACAACATTTCTGACCATCTGACTCCTAACACAAAACAATGTAATTGGCTTGGTGTACATTATGAAGGATTCAAGCTGAGATGTGAAACAAATGGGGGGCAGTTTCCAGCTGGAAAGGAAAAGTACATATTATAAATAGTGGGCAATCCAAATAATCTGTTAAAAGAAAGAACATCTTTCATCTCTCTTTCTGGTACGTGCTTTGAATTCGTTGCTTTAGCAGCTTGACTGCTGGCGTGTTATAACATCAACAGTCAGCAGCCTGGAAGGCAAACCATGGACACAGCAGGTAAAAGACATAATATTGTACTAAAGACCCTGAAAAGAAAATGTTCCCTACTCCTGTGTATCTCATTTATTCCTGATAACTGCTGAATTCACACCAGTGTTTGGGGGGGTTCTTAGGGGCCATTCCAACCTACCACAAAAAACCAGAGAAAAACATGTCTATAACATTATAACTAAGGACCACAGTGGCATCTTGAAACACATTAACTATGCAGGAGTAGCCAACCAGGCCTTTGGCTGATTAACATCTTATTTCCCTTTTAAATGGGTTTGTGGGAGGAGGAGGGGTGGGGTTCATTGGTTTGTGTTTCTTGTTCTTGTTTTTATCATGTATTTTGTGTTTTTATATTGTGTTTTATGTTGTGAACCACGCTAAGATCTACAGATGAAGGGCGGTATACAAATTTAATAAATAATTATAATTATAATGCCTTCCAGATGTTGTTGGACTACAACTTCCTCCTTCCCTGACCATTGGCCATGCTGGCTGAGGCTGATGGAGGCTGGAGCCAAAAGCATATTGGGAACACCACATTGGATACCCTGACCTAAAATTTCATGCAAGGAAGTTAATTTGTTGTCCAGCTGCATAATTTCTTTATCAAAGTAGAAAAGTGTCAGCCCCCCACATACATAAATTTAAATCTTTTTATGATCTGCAGAGACATGACTTCTTAATCCAACATGAAAGAAACACCTTCTAGGTAGAAATGTAGTGAAGGGACACTTGTAGACTGAAAAGTCTTGGGAAGCCTTGTGCCAAAACAGTTCTGCCCCATCCCCACCCACAGAAGGTAGATGCTGAAGAGTACACCCATACAGCTTGTTTGCCAGATGGGAAGAATGAACTATAACCTTGAAACATAAACCCATCTATATTAGCAGGTTGCAGACAGTATCTTAAAATCCATGCATATCCAGAAAGATAAAGCAATTCCACAAATGCTACCAATGTCACTTGCAATAGGAAATATTGTGTCCTGACATCCCACTCAAGGTTATGTAGCGTTTTAACACATCCAGAATACTTCGCCATGTAATGCGACATGACACCTCTTCATCTAGCTTCATAAATCCTGAAGGGGTTGGAGATCCTAACACAGGTTTCCTCCACCAGGGCAGAAAACTGAAATAAGGAAAGCATGCTGCAAAGGGGAGCAAGCAGATTTCCTGGTGAAATCCTAGGTGCTGGCTAGTGGGCGAAAGGGTGAGGGTCAAGAGAGAATTTTTATTAAAAATATTGCCTCAGGCTTAAGGAACCCAATTCCTTCAGAAAAGGGAATTGCTTTCCAAAACAGAATCTTTCGTTCTGAAACAGCCTCACATTTTATCAAAAGTGACAGCTCACTGTGAGAACAAGGAGTGCATGAGCTCCCTCTTTTCACCACGAAAAGCAGGATTTACTACAGGGTTCCACTGGTTCACGACTATTGTTAAAAAAAACTATTAATATTTTTATATCTCTTGCCACAAAATTTTACCTTCTCTTCTAAGAGACATAGATATTGTTATGGGTGTGTGTGTGTGTGTGTGTGTGTGTGTGTGTACACAAAGCAACAGATAGGATTTTTAAGGCATCACACAGCACTTCAGAAAGTGCTGGCTCCCAGAGGAATGCAGTTAGATGCAATACCAGAAGGGTGATATTCAACTAAAAAATGTGGGAGTTCAATTACTTCCACTTGTGCAACAGGACTTCTGTCCCATGCTATCCCAAAACCAGCTCCAGAGGGTTGGGGGAACCCCCAGAACAGATTTAGGAGCCACATGGGGTGGGGGGAAGTCCAACTGTGTAACAGAAGTCCTTCTGCTTCCTCAAATACAAGCCTAATATCATACATTTATTACAGCAACTAATAACACAGAGATATTAAAGTTTTAAATCAAATGTTTCCACTTCTGGCTTCTTCAGTATTCTGTACCTCCCCCCAAAGCCACTGTGGTCTGGGCTTTACAGGACTGCAGTATGAAGGGAGAATTGCCCCAGAATGGGAGCCCTGTACAAATGGTGCAGAATTCCTCCACCTGATTTCAGGGAATTCGCCTCTCACTGCAGTCCCTTATGGCAAAGCCCTCAATACTTGCTAGGCCTCATCAACTTTCTGAAGGGTACAGGTGGAAGAGGGGAAGAGAAAGATTGGTTGTCCAAGCTACCTTCCCATTTGTTAGTTGCATCCCCTGATTTTTTACAAATGGACTGCTCTGGAAACTTTGTTCTCATTACACAGTTCCCCCCCAGGTATGCATAACTCTGAATGCTGAATCCAGATCTTTACATTGCAGTCTGAAATGAAGAAATTTAAACCTGCTGCATGTAGTTCAGTACATCAACGTCAACATAAACGAGAACTTTAAAAGGTTTTAAGGGTGTTTGGCTGTGTGCAGGACTGAATCAGGGACCTTCTGCATGCCAAGCATGTGCTCAATCGCTGAGCTATGGGGTCGATGCGATCCATGCTACAAATCAGTTGCAGTCCAAAAGCCCCCAGGCTTTTGCTCACCAGATGAATGAAGTTGAGATGCCATTACTTCTTTTTCTAAACACTTTTAAAAAAACAACAACACCACCTTCTAATTTCGGCAGAACTGAATGTATATGCAATTCCTGCTTAATTTTTTTAATGCTTAAGAAATGTGCTGGCCAATTCTTGTCAACAGAAAATCAATTAAATCTAATGGTGCACCAAACAGAACTTCAGGCACTGATGTCCCTCAAGTTCTGCTTGGTGTAGCCTTCATGAACATAGTTGATTAGGTGAGCAGATTATATGCATTCATCTCCCCTGCAGGAGCATAGAAAGCTGCCTAATGGTCCATCTAGCCCAGTATTATTTAGAGAGGCAGTAGCCAACATAGTGTCTTCCAGATGTTGTTAGACTCCAACTCTCATCAGCCCTGACCACTGGCCTTGCTGTTTGGGGCTGATGGGAGTTGCAGCCTGACATCTAGATGGCAGCTGATCAAGACTCTGCACTGACCAGCAACTTCTCTCCAGTGTTTGAGGCCTGGGTCTTTTGCAGCCCTTCCCAGAAATGCCAGGGATTGAATCTGGGGCCTCTTAACACACAGCATATGGGCTCTGCCCACGAGATCTGGCCTTTTCTATCAGGGGCATCTTCAGCCCTTCTATAAAACGGATTCTAAGAAGAACTGGGAGAAGTTGACCTTAAAATAACGTTACCTATTGCATCCGGAATAAAAAAGTTATAACCAAGAAGACTGTAATGAAGCACCGATGGAATAATCCCTTTCAAGCCAGCGTAGCTCCAGTCGGACTGGCGGGGGTTCATTTGGAGAAAGAGCGGCAGGTGGCTGGCTCTAGAAGCAGCAGAAACAGACCAGGAGTCAAACTGGAAACATTGAAAGGCACAGTAATCATTCAGCCTTCCCCAAACTTGACGCCCTCTAGATGTTGTTGAATCACAACTCCCATAACCCCTGACTTAGCCATTCTGGTTGGAGCCGCCGGGAGCTGTTGTTCAACAACACCTGGAGAGTACCAGGTTGAGGGAGGCCAACTTAAGGCACAGGTGCAGCATTGCATCAAAGTCATAGACAGTTCTAAGGACGCATTGTCACACAGCAGCTGGTGGCTTGGCTTCATGCTAGGGTTGCCATATTTTGAAGAGCAAAAAAGAGGACACATCTGTCAACTTCTACTTTTAACTATGGGTAAAAAAAAAGGTGGGACGCGGGTGGCGCTGTGGGTTAAAGCCTCAGCGCCTAGGACTTGCCGATCGAAAGGTCGGCGGTTCGAATCCCCGCGGCAGGGTGCGCTCCTGTCGCTCGGTCCCAGCGCCTGCCAACCTAGCAGTTCGAAAGCACCCTCGGGTGCAAGTAGATAAATAGGTACCGCTGTATAGTGGGAAGGTAAACGGCGTTTCCGGGTGCTGCTCTGGTGCCAGTTCGCCGGAGCAGCTTCGTCACGCTGGCCACGTGACCCGGAAGTGTCTGCGGACAGCGCTGGCTCCCGGCCTATAGAGTGAGATGAGCGCACAACCCTAGAGTCTGTCAAGACTGGCCCGTATGGGCAGGGGTACCTTTACCTTTACCTTAAAAAAAAAGGTAAAGGACCCTTGGATGGTTAAGTCCAGTCAAAGGCGACTATGTGTTTGCGGCACTCATCTCGATTTCAGGCCGAGGGAGCTGGTGTTTGTCCACAGACAGCTTTTTGGGCCATGTGGCCAGCATGACTAAACCACTTCTGGTGCGACAGGAAAGTAAATGCCATTTACCTTCACACCACAGCAGTACCTAATTGTCTACTTGCACTGGCATGCTTTCCAACAGCTAGGTTGGCAGGAGGTGGGACAGAGTGAAGGGAGATCACCCTGTTGCGCAGATTCAAACCGCTGACCTTCTGATCGGCAAGCCCAAAAGGCTCAGTTGTTTAGACCACAACGACTCTCATTCTACACACCCATGAAAAAGAGGACATATGGCAACCCGGTTCATGCAAGCTGAAGCCACTTTTCTGGAAAGGAAGAGCACATACTGAATGCACATCCATGCCTCTGTTCATTAGCACACACTATCCCTCCACGACTCTCCTTCAGATTATAGCAGCACCAGCAGCAAATGACAAGGACAGAGAAAGGGGTGGAAGGGGGATGTAAGATTTCCCCTAAAATAAACTTTTAACGAAATAAAAAGAAGGGGCAGGAGATGGTGCACACTGATAGGATGCCCTCAGAAACAGACAGTTTGGAGAGTTATTCTGAGACGAACCTCATGCCGGCGCTAATTATTGACGTGTTTCCCAATGCAGCTGCCATTGAGGCTAAAATGTGAATGTACTTATCCCCTCCAAGTTCTGTGGGAGGTGGGACTGCTTGCTCCATAAACCAACTGCCTTCGCCACTTTCGAAAACCAAATACTCTGCTCCCAGTCGCTGCCTCAAGAGGCTCACTTGGTCCATGTACCAGAGCACCGCAGCCCGGCTGGTCACATTTAGCTGAGCAGAAAACTGCCCTTTCCATCTGGTGAGCAGCGGCACCTGCAATAGGAAACAGCCATCAGAAGAGAACAGCAGAAGCATAAAGGGCTAGGTTGACTTCCTGGTTCACCTCATGTGCAGGTAACCAATGTGATACCCCCCAGAAAGTTATGGGCTCCTACTCCCATCGGCCTCAGAAAGCATAGCCAATGGTCAGGCATGATAGCAGTTACAGTCCAGCAATATCTAGAAACTACCATATTGGATGTTCCCTGCTTAAACTAATAGTTGGCAGCGGCAGATTAAGGGGAGCATTTGTGAGCACTTGGTTTCAAGGTTATGCTCTCCGAATGGCAGTACTCCTAGCCTCAAATTCTGAGCAGAATCATATGAACACAGCATAGAACATTTTATAGCTAATGTGCATTTTCAAAACAAAGGCATCACTCTGTATTTATGTGTATCATGGGCACTGAGACAATTTTATTAGGCAATAGATTTATTTTTATTTTTTAAAAAAATGATAGCCTGCTACATTACATTGCTTAATAAAACATGGCCTGAAATATATTTCTTTTGCAGACACCATTGAAGATACAGTATAGCTATAATTTCCTGAAATTCGTTATAGGCCCAAGAACCATTATTTAGGTACAGCTTGATTATTGATTACAAGGGCCCTACTAGACATGATGTGGGAAATCAATGATTAGGTATCCTGCCATGATTTTACTTTCCTAAAAGTCGCTGTAAGCGACCCAACACTCACACACCCAGTTTAGATTGAGCTTACGGCATGGAGATAAAAGTTCCCCCTTCATATAGCTTCTTTTCCATGGTTGTATTGCATATTTTCGCCTCTGCAGCTCAGGGAGGGTGATTTGCATCAAGGCTTTGGTACAAGGAAGGAGGGTAAGACCCCCTTCCTACCATGTCAGGGCTCCATCCAAACAGGGGTCGTGGTAGCTGCTATCAGGAGAAGAAAAATGCTGATTGGCAGTGCTTGCAAAGGCACAGGGCTTTGCAAGTGCAAACACTCAACTTATTGTCAGCTCCTGCAGACTCCTGTGTCTTGGTCCATTGAATGTGATTTCAAACTGCCCAGGCAAAATAAAGCACGTCACTGTGATGCCAGCTGAATGACAAGTGGGCAGTCCCATCTACTTGTCAGAATGGCCAGCAGGGGGCAGGGTGAGGGACCTAGACATCCAATCCACAGGCTGGAAACAGCTCCTCAACCCTGCTATAGAGTCATAGAATGGGAAGGTACCATGAGGGTCACCTAGTCCAGAACCCTGCAATGCAGGAATCTTTTGCCCATTGTGGAGCTCGGACCCACAACCTTGCAATTAAGAGTCTCACGTACTACCAACTGGGGGGATCCAATCACCCATCTCTGACATAACATGTGCTTTGGCTCATTAACGTCTGCTAATGTATGTTGAGCAAGCCGAGAAAGCCTGATACCTACTGGTTCCTTCCAGGCTAGGAACCTCTAGAGGTAATTGGTCAAGTGCAAGAGGTGATATTAGGGACTTGTACCGAGTAGTCACCAGATTCAGAGTGGCGGCTCAGCCAATAGTCTTCTTTGCCTTCTTGTAGAGACATCTGAAAAAGTTGGGAGTTGATGCTTGCAAAAGGGGACACAGTTATGGAAAGCTTTAGATGTTTTGTAAGTGAGGAGTCCATGGCAAGCCTTGGACTATGCAACCCTTTTCGTCTCATCACAGGTAAAAACTTGTGTTCCTGAAAGAAGAGAGAATAGTGTGCACCATTAGACAAGGATTTTGTCATAGGACCAGGGACTATAATGTTTGGAAGGTAAGACTAAACAGCAAAACACACTCTGCTATTTATTTAACAGGGTCTCAAGATGACATCTCCAAGAACTCTTACCCTACTTCTGTTTAATATTTCAGCACAAAAAAACAGAAGTGCAGGAAGTAGTGTGTGTGTGTGTGTGTGTGTGTGTGTGTGTGTGTGTGTTTAAAAAGGCACCACACCACACCGGGTTTGGCATAATTTGAAAAAGCTCTTCAGTCCTGCTGCTGGTAACAGCTATAAAGGCTCTTAAAGCAGTAATTAAAGTCAAAGTGGCTTAGATCAGTGTTTCCCAACCTTTTTTGGGCAAAGGCACACTTGTTTCATGAAAAAAATCTCAAGGCACACCACCATTAGAAAATGTTTAAAAAATTAACTCTGTGCCTATATTGACTACCCTATTTTTCGCCCTATAGGACGCACCGGCCCATAGGACGTACCTAGATTTTGGGGGGAAATAAAGGGGGAAAAATTATTTTCCCCCCCCAGACGCGGGGCTGGGGCGGGAGAAGCCCGAGCTTCCCCCCACCCCAGCCCCCAGAATGGGAGCCAGAGTGGCTCCCGGAGCTTGCGGGACTGGGGGTGGGGGAAGCCCGAGCTTCCCCGCCTCCAGCCCCCAGAAAGGGTCCGAGAGCGATGGCAAAGGTGAGCGCACCTTCGCCATCACTCCCAGAGCTTGCGGGGCTGGAGGTGGGGGAAGCCAGAGCTTCCCCCGCCCCCAGCCCCCAGAAAGGGTCCGAGAGCGATGGCGAAGGTGAGCGCACCTTTGCCATTGCTCCCGGAGCTTGCAGGAGCTGGGGGCTGGGGAAGCCGGAGCTTCTCCCGTCCCCAGCCCGCAGAGCAGGTCGGAGAGCGATGGCGAAGGTGTGCGCACCTTCGCCATCGCTCTGGGACCTTGCGCGGGCTGGGGGCGGGGGAAGCCGGAGCTTCTCCCGTCCCCAGCCCGCAGAGCAGGTCGGAGAGCGATGGCGAAGGTGTGCGCACCTTCGCCATCGCTCTGGGACCTTGCGCGGGCTGGGGGCGGGGGAAGCCGGAGCTTCTCCCGTCCCCAGCCCGCAGAGCAGGTCGGAGAGCGATGGCGAAGGTGTGCGCACCTTCGCCATCGCTCTGGGACCTTGCGCGGGCTGGGGGCGGGGGAAGCCGGAGCTTCTCCCGTCCCCAACCCGCAGAGCAGGTCGGAGAGCGATGGCGAAGGTGTGCGCACCTTTGCCATCGCTCTGGGACCTTGCGCGGGCTGGGGGCGGGGGAAGCCGGAGCTTCCCCCCTCCCCAGCCCCCCGAACAGGTCAGAGAGCGATGGCGATGGTGTGCGCACGTTCGCCATCGCTCTCGGGGCTTGGGAGGCTGCGGGCGGGGGAAGCTGGAGCTTCCCCCGACCCCAGCCCCCCGAACGGGTTGGAGAGCGATGGCAAAGGTGCGCGCAGCTTTGGCATCGCTCTGGGAGCTTGCGCGGCTGGGGGGATAGCTTCCTTAAGCCTGGAGAGCAAGAGGGGTCGGTGCGCACCGACCCCTCTCGCTCTCCAGGCTTCAGCAAAAGCCTGCATTCGCGGCGATGGGATGTGGGAGCTCGCTCGCTCGCCGCCCCGCGTGTGCTCGCCGCCGGCGCCCCGCCTCTCGCCGCCCGACTCGCCCGCCTCCCTCCCACGGCACACTAGGCAACGTCTCACAGCACACTAGTGTGCCGCGGAACACCGGTTGGGAAACACTGGCTTAGATGGAGCTTCCACTCACAAGATTCACATAGCCTTGGCTTGAACAATGCTGCAGTATTCCAGTGAATGGTCTGGAATGTAGAAGATAAGGGTTTATGGACCTAGTTAGAGCCTAGATGGAATGCCAATAGGAGCCCCACTAGCTTAAGCCTTAATAAGTTAAGTTCACCAGTTGCTATCTAAACAGTCAGATTAAATAGGAGATAGATTCAAATAGGAGATAGTCCAATAACATTTATATGGTGTTAATGGGAATCTATTAAGGAATCAGTCCCAACTAGGCTTGGACAAAAAAATTATTTGGTCTGCAAGTGAACTGACCTAATACACGCTTACCAAGCTAAAATACCAATCAGAACATAGCTGCCCTTCAGATTTTGCACTTGCCTGAATTTTGCAATATAGTTGTCAGTTTAATAAATGAATAAAAATGATGTTTTAGGGGGAAATGTTTAGATAAAACATGTATTCAAATACATATTTTGTGGTAAAACATGTACCTAAGTACATACAGTATTTAAATATTAATTTATGTGAATAAATGTATGTGAAATTGACATGGATCAGAAATAGGCTGATTTGCTCATCTACCCGCAATTCCCAATTTCATTGGGGTTCAATCTAACAGAGGGATATGGATGATAAAAAAATAAAGTTTTGTGAGAATTAAGACAAGTATAATAATTTTGTTTGTAATTTTTTAAAAAACACTTTGAGGTTTTATTATAATCAAATTGAGATACACACACACACACACACACAGGCCCAGATCCCAGTTGAAATGTGCACCCACAAAACCCACCTCTATTTGTGGGTTTGCATCTATAAAATTGCCTCCCATGCTTAGACATACTGGTGCATGTGTGTGTGTGTGTGTGTACACAACTGTGTGCCAAGTAGCTGTGCAAAACCCCTGTTGAAAAACTGGACTCTGTATTTTATTTGTCTGGTGATATCAAACACCAAATCCAGCTGTTGTCAAAGTCTGTGAAAACACTCCTGTACATGGAAAATGGGAGTTTGCTGGCTAAGGTTTTGAAAAGTGATACTTTAGCTATAACAATTTAATGCAGAATGCTGGGAAAGATATATATTTGAGGAATTAACAGGGTGGGTGAAAATGCTGCCCTCTAGCTCTGCAGCTTGCCCATGGCCTCCAAAGATGCACATACCGTATTACCAAGTAGCACTGTGGAAAGTTCACTGAGAGCGATTAGCCCCTCCCCGAGGTGATGCCTTTGCAGTCTGTTGAAGAAATATCTTAATCCTCGCTCCACCTTGGCAGCAGAATCTGCTGCTCTGTAATAGCTCCAGACAGGCAACCTGTATTGGTGTAGTTTAAAGAAAGAAGCCTTGCTTGAACTTAACACCTATTTATTATCTGGCCCACAGGTTTTTCAAGATCACAAAACTAAAATAGCTAGGTTAAACCAGCATATCTAGTATATGCCTGCAGATGTTTAAAAAGGGAGGGGACTCGTGTCGGCAGAAAACTTATGTTCCTGTCTAATAGGATATGCAAATTCCCCACTTGATTCCATTTCTCAGGTTCATAAGGTAAAGGTAAAGGACCCCTGACAGTTAAGTCCAGTCACGAATGACTCTAGTAGTTGCGGCACTCATCTCGCTTTACTGCCCGAGGGAGCCGGCGTTTGTCCGCAGACAGTTTTTCCGGGTCATGTGGCAGGCATGACTAAGCCGCTTCTGGCGAACCAGAGCAGCGCACAGAAACACTGTTTACCTTCCTGCCAGAGCGGTACCTATTTATCTACTTGCACTTTGACGTGCTTTCGAACTGCTAGGTTGGCAGGAGCTGGGACTGAGCAACGGGAGCTCACCCTGTCATAGGGTTTCGAACCATCAACCTTCCAATCGACAAGCCCTAAGCTCAGTGGTTTAGACCACAGCGCTACCCGAATCCCTTCTCAGGTTCATAGTATAATATTAATCAGGACTGGCCCTACTGCAACATACTCTATGTGCAGCTACCTTTGAAGGTGACTCAGAAACTGCAATTAATTCAGAATGTGGCTGCTAGACTGGTGACTGGGAGCAGCTGCCACAACCATATAACACTGGACCTAAAAGTGGGTTATATATATAAAAGGAATAACAAAACCAACTACTACTATTTTACAGTCTGCCTTTTTGGATTTCTGTTCTACACCTTTGCGTGTACCCATACCCTTAAGATCTTGCCACCCTATAGCTGGTGGGGTGCTTAATGTCAGACCACACTTTTCTGATATCTTTCTTACCTTAGTATGTCAGTATCTGGCAGCTTCCGCTGATGTCCTGAAAGCTGGCTTCCCACTTCCTGATGGGCAGACGTGATGTTTTGACTGACACACACTGTGTACTGCAGGGATGCCATGTTGACGCCAAGGGTACTCTCAAGGCAAAAATGTTTGTTCCTCTCTACTGAGAGGAAGATGGGTATGTCTGAGGCAATCATCACTGTCACTCCTTTAGAGATAACAAACACACAAAGGTATAAAAAAGAAATCAGACAGTTAGGACTGTGCTTTACTTTGTCATGCATTTGATGAAATTCCAGTATCATTTTTTAATCCAGTGTGAGAAATCAGAACTCACTCACTTCCATTTCTGTGCAGATGATGACAAAACGGCATAAAACAGGAACTCTGCTTTTTTGTTGTTGTCAAAGGCACATAAGCCTTGTAGAGATTGCGAGTTATATTGCTCATGGCTGAGATCGTAAACATTCTGTTGTTTACTTATTGCATAATAGGTCTAATAACTATAATTAGGTATCAAAATCTCGTAACTGATTGAATACTATCAATGTAATTAGATTTTTTTCTTCTTTTAATCATGGACTTGCGAAGCATCGCCAAACTGAACACAGCCCGGCCTTCCAAAGTTGTTGATCCTGACAGAGAATCCTCCTCATAGGGTGATACTCAGCCCAGAGACGTGGTCTATCCTCCTTTAGGAAGAGTCATTCCCTGTCCTTCTAAAATGAAACACGGCAAAGAGACATGGATATTGCTGGGGTATTAACTAGCAACATTTCTGACCTTTGGCCATGCTAGCTAGGGCTGTTGGGAGCTGGAATCCAACAACATCTGGAGGGCACCATGTTAACAATCCCTGCCCTGTACACTAGTGGCAATTTCATGTCTTCTGAAATTCTGCCATGCTATTAATGTCACACGTCAATAAGTTACTGTGAGCTATGGTGCAGAAGGGAAATTGACTAGCAATTTTGCCTGGCCAGTGTAGACATTTTAGACAAATTAGAATACAAACCAGTTCAAATTTTATGTGCCTGGGGCTAATGTACTAGGATTTAATGCACTGGTAGAAAGGGAATGGGATGCGGGGAGGGCATATCCTTCCTCATACATTTTCGCCTTTCTTTTTTGTTAGGTTAGTTTTTGTTTTTGTTTTTTAAGGAAGGCAAATTTGAGCTGTTCCTCAGAAAGAAAAGAAAATAAGAGGAATTCCCACATCAAAAGCTAATATTCGAAATCATTGCTGCACAATGCACTAGTAAGGTGGTCGTGTACACACTGCAAAAAAGAGGAACTGCGTCAACAAAAAAGAGGGCATGGGATTGCATAAAACTTGCATATGCTACTTTATATATGTATAATCTCACTGTAATGGGAAAGAATGTGGCCAGGTGACCTGTGTTGGTGGACAGCTTGAAGACTCCTGCTCACTCTTCCTTCTTATGGTTCTTTAAAACTAGATTTGGACCAGACAGCCATTCAAACAGAGGACTGTCCTCTGTAAAGTAGAGTCCATGGCCATCCAACTATTAAAGTATGATACATCACTCTCTGTTCACTGTATCAGTGAGGCAGGTATTTGATGTAGCTAGCCGCCTTTCTTGGAGAAGATACAACCCTAGTTACCTTCTTAATTTTTCACTCAATTGGACTGTATTAAAAAGAAAAGAAAAGACTAAAGCCATAGAAAAGCTATTTACAGTCAACAATGTTGGGAAATCAAGCGAGGAAGGCAACTCTTACCAGTTGATCCCAAAAAATATCTTTCTAAGACAGAGCCATAAGCAGCTGGGGTTTTGGCGAGGTTGCTGATAATGAACGGCTGGGACTTGATGCTCACGTTGTTCAGAGGCCAATGCTGGCTGCTGACACTCGCTCCTCCATACCAGGAAATATTTACCATGGAAAAGCAGTCCTAGAAAGCAAAATATTACAGAAAAACTAATGTATAATTTTGAAGAATAGCCTTGGTTAAATCTATAAAATATGCAAAGGTACATGTTTGTGCCCATATGACCTGTCCTTGCTCCAACCTTATTCACCCAGCTGTGGGGTTATTTTTACTCAAATATTCAGTTTTCCCCAGACCCTTTTAAAAGCATTTACTTCCACTGAACAAATGAGATCAGCAAGTTTAACTTCCCATGTGATTGCATAATCACTGGCTAATAGCACAAGGCCTCTTAGATGAAAGCCTAGACACATTTCAAAGGGGATTTTGGAGTTTTTGAAGGCATCAGGGTTAACATTTATGTAGTCTCCTTTACACCGTAAGGTTGATCAGCCACTAATGAGGGGAAGATTTCTAGTCATATTTCTCAAACGGTTTTGTACCAATTGTCTATCACTGTGCCAGAAATGCCTCTCCAGTGTCTGGTTTTGTTGCGTCTTGGCGCTTTTAATAAGTGGTTCATTAATTCTTTATTATGTAAATCCAGATTGTTGTCTTGAAATATATTTAATAAAGCTAATTCTGGTTTGGCTTTTCCATTTTATAACCAAAACTGGACGTCGGTTCCCCCCTGCCTTCCCTGAGTAGAGGGAAAGGAGCATAACTGATTATACCATGCACACTTGTGCTACGACTGCTTCCGATAAACAGGTTTGGCAGATGTGGAGAATGTTCCAAAAAGTCTGTTTGATCATGATGACAGCAGGATAAAAGAAACCTGCCTGTTGTGTAGACCAAAAGCAAGTTGCCTTTATTGTATCACTTAGAACTCTCCTAAAAAACAATTGCATGTTTCCAGTCTGACTCTCTACTTCTTTCTTACTTAGTCTTTGATATGCATCTGAATGTTGCTCCCTGGGCATTCTCAGCCCCTAATGCAATCAGTGCAAGAGTTTCTCCGTATTATTGTACAACTGAGAAGTCTTTTGTTCCATATGCTTAGTCTTTATGGGACCATGATAACACAAAGCTATGGCAAGGTCCTTTCAATTCAATCTATGAATCTCTGAAAAAAGGCTTGGCTTCATTTTTGAGACTTTGATTAGGGTACTCCTATGATTGCTAAACCTTTTGAAAATCTGCAGAAATTCTAGCATGAACCAGAATGTCTAATTGAGGTCAAAGAATTTGACCCAGTGTGAGCCTCATGCTTAAAACTGAGTGGTTTAATTAGAGCTGTTTATGCTAACTGGCCTCTTCCACCCCAAGATCCTGAACTAAAAATTGTATTTTACATAGAAATCATGACTGCACAGATTTTGAATTTCTTTCAGGTACTGCTAGCATACCAGTACACTAAAACAAACAAGGCATATGCTGTGCATTGAGAGCAAAAATAGGTCAGATAGTCAAAGTAAGCAGATCACCCACTGATTTAAAAAGCTGTTTTCATTCAAGCTTTGCATTTCCTATGTCTTTAATTCCAAAATAAAACCTCAATTGGCTGGAATGTACATTCTGTTTGTTTGTATTTTAAATGTATCTTTATTTTATTTTTAATTATTATTTAAAAGCATTTCCGCATTAGCATTGCCAATGAGTGGTGCATTCCTGATTCAAGAGAGTTATTTACATCGCTCAAGAAAATACCCCTACTTCCAACCAAGTATGTCAGCTTAGGATCACATTCTTTTGAATTGTTCTAATTTCTTATATGCCAATAGGTCCACATAAATATTTTTTGGCCTGTCTCATATCCTGAGATGGTTGAGGCTGAAAAGCCAAGTGCAAGAATAAATAAATTTCTAGATATTGCTGCAAAATCCTGTCCATAAAATATGTGTTTAATGCTGACTCATAAACATATTTACTTGGAGGAAAATCCCACGCATTTCAGTGGGATGTTTCATATGCCTGGGACTGCTGCCCAAATCTTATATTGTTGAAGAAGTTCATACATGCAGGGGACGACAAAACACTCCTATCCAGCTTTCAGTATATCCAGAGAGAAACACAGTTCTTAGATTTCAACGCCGGCGCAGATAGATTTGTTACTTTCACAAGAATTATAAAGCACCCCCACCTCATTTTTTGGAGCACAGAAAAAAAGCTGTTTTGAAGACACCCGCTGTCATTCCATGATAAATAATAATAATAAGTTATGTCATGACTATGGTGGCAAGGGAACTTTCTTAGCTTGCAATTTTCAGAGACCGATATGATTTTAGGTATTACTTGGTTCATTTTTAGAAAGGTGGTTCTTCCACTCTGGTTATACACAGCACTCCAATGGTGCAGAGCTAGAACTGATTTTGGATTTAGCTGGCTGATTTACTTTTGTATTCTTGCAATTTTGTCTTTGTGTGCAAATATCTTGGTATTTGCCAAGGGATCCTGGAGATTCTTTTAGGGGGTTGAACTTTTACCTTAAAAAACCAAGATTTTCATAAATAGGCAACAACAAAAAATGCAGATCTACATTTACTGCAAGGACCAAGTTTAAGATGTCAATGCTTGTTTTGATTAGCATGGATATTACTGGCATCTTTATCAGTGTTGATGTTCACACTCTGTAAAGTTTATGGGAATGCGACATGAGCGTAATATTTAGTGAAATAAACTGAGGCTATAGTTCATTACCTTGATCTTAACCTGGCAGTGCAGAGGCGTCCAACCGATGCTGTAGCACTCCGTGTTGGAAGAAAGGCTGGACTCCAAGGAGATATTCAAGTGTGCGGTGGCTTCCCAGGTGTAACAGAATTCCGTCTTGTTTATCCAACACAGATTCTTCATTAAAGGTACCTCCATATCTGAGAGTCTTCCCATGTGAATCTCCAGGAAAGTTTTGTCCTCACTCAGAGTCTGCAGGATGAGGGAATGAGCTTTTCTTTCCCAAATAAGACCACTGGAGTTCCCTTTCAGGATCCAATTTTTGTTTGGCTGATCCACCACTTGCCAGTAGATAATCCCAATGGTCATCACAAAGAAGACAGCTACCCCAAGGCAGGCAATTGCTCCTTTCCAGGTCTCATTCATTTCCTTCAGCCCAGAATCCCACGTCACCTCTGGAACTGGAGTCGGGTTCCTGGGACGATTGTGAGGCATTTTACTCACATGAAGAATATTTCCCCCCCTAATGATCTAGGAAGGACTCTCAACACAGAGCTCTCCCCTTTTTAGAGCTATGCAGGAAGCTCAGTTCAGATTTGATTCTTCCCCCCCTGCTGTCCATGAGTAACTTCACACTATCCCTGCCCAGGGGAGGGAGAGAACAAAAAAGAAGTGGGGAAAGGTACAACTTTTCAAAGCTTTTCCCAGCACTTCTCACTGCATTACATTCAAAAGAGAGTCTGGGGAAGTGATTCTAGCCAGTTCTGCACTAGAAGCCTACAAAATATAACTGCAAATGTGTGGTGTCAGATCCATTTGCCCCTGCCAGATTTGTCCTAGGTTCTTGAGCCATGACATTTCTTTGGCCTGTCGGACTGTGCCTAATCAGGAACTCTGTCCATAGCTTAATAGAAGCGCACATACGCAGTAAGACCCTGGATCCTAGATGAGAGACAGCCTGCTCACAGAACAGGTAAGTGGGAAGCATCTGTGTTATAAGAAACGACAAACTGTCAATCCAGCTCCACTTCTGGGTTTGGACTCAACCTTTTGAAACCCCCAAAACCGTGACAGGGACCCACAGATAACCAGCTTACTTTGAAAGCATCGTTAAAGCTTATTAGCCCTGAATATGGTTGCCAAATCAAAATTACAGGCCAGGAGTCTGAAATAATAAATGTCTTATTATTTTCTGTTGAGCTATCACAGTTTTGAAGAGTGTTAATCATAAATCTTTGATGATGTAAATAAGCACAGGGTCCTTGAATGTCAAATTGAATTTTTAGCATTTACATTAGTGAGGGCTTGAGTCTTTGAACAGAATACTTTACAGATGTCAGATGTCACGGTGTTACATTATGCACAATAGATACCATTATGTATTTGGTCAGATTTCACACATGTATTTGGCTCTGGTCAGATTTCACACAGAGTGCATTAAACACTCTCTATTATTTTTAGGGGCCGTGCAGTGCAATCTTATGCATGTTTACTCAGAAGTAAGTTTAACAGGGATTACTCCTTGATAAATCTGTTTTAGGATGGCAGCTTAATTAAAATTATTTTCTAATGAAGAACAGACCTCCACATACACAACCCCCAAAGTTTTAGAGATTCTCCCTCACTCTTTTTAACCACTTCTTAATTTTAAAAGACAGAGGCAGAACCTTTAGCTTTCAGGGCTCTTTTGCAAAGGGAAAAATATTTACTTAAAATATTCCATTTAACCCCAACAAAGATCAGCTTTTCATTAATATAAACCAGATAAGCTCAACTAAAAGAGCTATGCTGGTTACACAACGAAGAACACAATTCATTCTTTTTCCAAATGTTATTTTTCCAAATCAAAGTTCTGGGAAGGACATAAAGATCTGGACTAGTTTTCATTTGCTTTCAGGTAGAGCTTAGAAAATAGTTTTGGCACAAACACTACCCTCTCCCAAAGAGAGTAGGGTTTGCCAAAGGGAATGCTTCTTCCTCCACAAGCACTGTTTTCAAAATAAATAAAGGCAAGAATGGCACAATAAAAACCAGCAGCTTTAAATGTGGTGGAGTTTTATAACTTCACATATCTCTTTAACCTGCCAGAACCAGGACTGGACAGTTCCAACATCTGAACTGGACAGTTCCAAGTCCCATATTCATGGAAGTCATTTAGAGTGTTCTATCACAACTTGTTTCCACTCTGTGGCCTCAAACACAATTCACAGTTCAAACATCACATCAAGCAATAATTTAAAGCCAACTATACTCTAATGTGTAGAACCCTGCTCAAAAGTTCCAGTGGCATTCCTGCGCTTGCTACCGTCATGCTATAGATGAAAGAAGCTCAAGTCTGGTTTGTTGGGATGTCTGAACCCAGGCTTGTGACTTGTTTCTCCAAACAAACCACAAGTGGTAAACCAAGAACCAACTTTGGCTACCAGTCACGGTTTGGAAGAAATAAACCATGAGTCTGGATTTCAACAACATGACAAGACATTTTGTTTTGCCCATGGCACAGCAGCAGGGGAGGAGCACCCCAGAAACTGCTAAGCAATGTGTTTCAGCATGCTGGCCATTTACATGAATGCACAGTTTGCTTTTCGAAGCATGCAAAAACATGGATCAGGCTGCATTGCTAGTATACAAATGAACTATATGCTTACTTAATCCACAGAAGTTTAAAATCAGTCCCAGAGCAATTGACTCACCTGAAACTGAAGGGAACTGATCAAGGTTCCAGAGCAGCGATTTGGCATTGTTTCCAGAGCTAACTGGATTCCTGCGGAGGGAGGAAATAGCACTTGATTAGCGGGTGATTATCATGGTACAACAGCTAAAGGGCCAGTAAGTGCAAATAAGGATTAAGGAAATATGACAAAGCAGCCTTTGAGTCTGAAACATAATGCAAAGCCATCCAGAAAGTCTTATTGACCCCAGATGGTTCTGATCCATGTGTCAGTCATAAACTTAATCTAAAGTGGGGGGCCGGACTATATTTTGAAAATATATATATGAACGAATTCCTATGGCCCACAAATAACCCAGAGGTGCATTTTAAATAAAAGGACACATTCTACTCATGTAAAAACACACTGATACCTGGACCGTCCGCGGGCCAGAGTTAGAAGACAATTGGGCCGGATCTGGTTCCCAGGCCTTAGTTTGCCTACCCATGGTTAAGAGTAAAAGAAAAAGGACAAGGCCCAGCTGTTTACGAGGAACTCGAAGGCTTTTATTGAGTGTTTTAACAATAAATGATTGCTGTCTGATATATAAGTGTGTTTTCATTTGTTATGAATGCATTGGATTCCTCTCATCTCTCATAAACAATAAGACTAAATTGTGGCTTTAAGGAAGCCAGCTATCTCCATTCAATTTCCTATTCTTCCTCTAAGTAGCTTAGGGAAGTGAACATGTTTCTCCCATCACCTCCACCACGTCTGCTTATCCTCACAACAACCCTGTGCAGAATCCAATGTAGTGCTAAGTGAACATTCCGTCAACACAAGGATTTCTGCTTGTGCAATGGAACATTTCCCCCCTCTCCTCCCCCTGTGCACCCCCTAAATCTGTTCTAGGGGCTCCCTCCCCCTAATCCTCTGGAACAGGTTTGGCGAGGCCACCAGGCATGCATGGGGAGAGAGGGAAGTTCCATTGTGCAAAAAAATACTTGTGCTGGTGGGACAAGTTACAGTAGTTGAATGCTGGCCCATAAGGTAGTTAGGCTCAAAAAGACTCACCCAAGACCAGTGAGCTTCATGAGTGAGTATGGATCTGAACCCAGGACTTCCGGGTCCTAGTCTACCACTATAACAACTCCACCATACCATCTCTCCGATTATTGGACAGGTAGGTTTGTGGGAATTACTTTTGTTTGTTTGTTACTACGGTGTGTATTTTTGTGTTTGTCTATTGTAAACCACTCTGTGATCCTCAGGTGAAGGGTGGTAATTTAATAAATAGTAAAATAAATAAATGAAAAGGTAGTTCTGAAGGTACTTGATGTCTTCAAGACAGTCAGGCAGGTTTGCATCTGAGAATGTGAAAGTTCTTAGTAATAGAAATAGTTCTAGAACTGTAGCTCCTGAAGAAAGTCTTTAGAAAAGTGCCCAGCAATAATAATAAAAAATGAATTAATCCACTTTAGGGTTAAAATGAGAAAGATTGGTCATTAGAGTTGAATAGACAATCAGATGGACAAATCATCTGACCTAGTGTAAGGTAGTCTTTTATATTCCTTTTTTTTAATATTGTGAATGTTTTTTTAAAAAATAATTGTTGAAAGTTGGTGTGTGTTCCTCATCATAATTATTACAGTGATAGTTATTGTTAGGGTAAAGTATGGGGGAAAGTGGTTATTAGCACATCCTGACTATAGACAATTGGAAACAGAGATGGAAAAAATGAACACTTCTTTCTCTGCATTCTGTGGTGTAACAACAAATAATTAAGAAGGAAACATTACCAGATTATTCCAGTTTCAATTAAATAGACTTCCAGTAAAATAAACCTTACCTTCTTCTTGTAAGCTGTTGGAAGATCAGCAATTTCACCTGGCAGAAGCCAGAAGCTACGGTAAAAAATACAAAGCAGTAGATGCGACTGTTCCTCAGACAGATTGGTTCTGTGTAATCCAAGGCTTCTAAAATACTGCTTGCAAAAATCTTGGAAAAGCTGTTGAAGAAAAACAGGAGGTTAGTGCTGATCTCAGAGCAAAATGCATCAACAACAGCTGTGGGTGGATACCATTGAACAATTGTGCGTTCGAAGTGATGATGCCATGTGGTGACATCCTAAAGGTTGCCATGATAATGTCATCCTGATCCAGACATCAGAGCAGTGGACCCAAGACAAAACCCAGTCATCCAAGCTAGCCAGATATGGTATAACTCGTTTTATGCATCCCAGTAAACTAATCAGAAATAACACACAGTCAAAGAACAGGCAAGATTGCACCAATTTACTGAGGTATGATAACTACTCTGTAGTTAAGTGATTGTGTATTGTTATTCAATGACATTTCTACTTGTGTAGAGTTGCAAGTCTATATGTGTATTTATATGCACATAATTGCAAGATTTCCAGTGGATGAAACCCTTGGCAGTGGTAGCTATGTTTTATGAATCATTATGAGGTTGGACCCAGCTGAAGTATTGTTGACAAGCCCTTTGAAGGGCAGAACAAATTTATCAAAGGTGAGTGGTAGAGCACACACGTTCCAAGCAGGTTTAATCTCCATCATATTCAGGTTGGGCCCAGAGAGACTATTGCCTGAAACCCTGGAAAGCCTTTGCCAGTCAATGCAGCTAGGTGGACTAATGGTCAACATAAGGCAGTTTCCAATGTTCCTGTGACTGTTTGAATAATACGTCAAAAGCATAGATAGAGTGCTTGATAGAAATATTCTCAGGACCCAGTGATTCTGGGGTGTCCTTAGCAAGCCAAGCTCTTCCAACATATAGTTTTATGACCAATTCTTTGATTTGAATTGCTGCTCTCAGATGACAACATTGACCTTTCTACAGGGAACATGGAACTTAAGCTCATAGATTGGATCCTTCATTTACTTTTTGCTCTCACCCCACAAATGACAAAAGCTTCTACTGTGACCAGATATGAAACTTAACATACACATGTCAGAAGTAGTGTGGTAATTTAAAAAAATTAAAAGAGTTAACTACACCCCAAACATAAACAAGCAAAAGCACTGGGGAAAGGCTTCTAGCTGGCCCTTTTACAAACGAAAGGTGAATCATTTTCCAGGAACAATAATAATAATTTAACTTTTTTCACAAAAGTAACCTGAAGCAACGTACAAGACAAACATTAAAACCAAGTATAAAAACGAGCAAAAAACAAGCTCAAATGCTTATTGGTAATATGTATAAAAGGGCAGATTCAATTTAAAGTGTCCTTTAAATTAATGGCCAAAAGCCTGGGCAGTTTTTATTTTTTGCCCAGCACATGAAAACAGATAGTGATCCTGCCAGCCTCCCTGGGGAAAGCATTTCACAAACAGGAAGCCACCACTGAAAATGTAGGTTGTCATCTTGCAACCCTTCACACCTCACTTGGAAGAGGTCACAAGGAGAAGAGCCTCAGATGATGAACACAGGAGCCAGATGATGAATTCAGGGGGAAGGCTTGTTCAGAATGGTGCAAGTTATTCCTTTTGTTGTTCCCTGTAGAATAATAAAATTTATTCTGTAGAATAGGGGCCCTGAGGGACATCTAGTCCAACCCCTTTCAGTGTAGGAATCTCAACTAAAGCATCCATGACAGATGGCCATCCAACCTCTGCTTAAAAACATCTAATGAAGGGGAGTCCACTATCTTCGAAGAGGGTCTGTCCAACTTGTCGAATAGCTCTTACCATCAGAAAATTCTTCCTGATATTTAGTCAGAATCTCATTTCTTGTAACTTAAATCCATATGTTCGGATCCTACGCTTTGGAGAAGAAGAAAACAAGCTTGCTTCAGCTTTGGATTTCCAAGTCCTATATTCCAAGAAAGCTGTGTTTCACTTACATTCTAGAGTGGTGCTCATTGAAAGTGAGGTATGTCCTCAGGTTCATCTAAACCTCTGAATTATCTCACTGTTGCCATCTGTTCATTCCAACACCTGATGGTTGCTATTTCAAAGACTGCAGGTTTTGAGAGAAGTAGTTGGGGTTTCTCCCCTCCATCTCCCCTTTCAGGAGGTTATAAGCTTTTAAAGGTTTCAACAGCAGATTGCCTCAGGTTCAAAACCCATATTCTTCAAAAGCAGTATAATGGAATCCCCTTAGAACTGCCCGTTAATAGTTACAGGGCTTAGCATACAAGGAACCAGAGTCAGACCTAAAACATGAAAACAGAAGGGAAAATTATAACTCAAAGGCACGAAAGCTCGTTGTATCAGATTTAACTCATGATAAATACATTTAAAGGGCCTGCTCCTTAATCCACACGGATGCTAACTGAGGCCAGACGTACAGCAACTGGCCAATAAAGCCTGCCTTGTAAACATTCCTGCCTTTACTACCTTCTGTGTTGCTTTCCCCTTTCAACTAATTTCATCATCCCTAAGTAGCCAAGGAGGCCCCCAGTTCCTGACGCTCACAACTGGATTTGATAGACAAATGCAGGCCAGGATTTAAATTAGCAGAACTGCAATGTATCAAATTGGTTCAGAGGCTGCAGTCCTGCCTGCAGTTAGGCTACCTAAATCCCATTAAAGTAGTTGGGAGCAGCAGGCTGTGTGTAGGCCTGGCAGCCATAGTCATCTGCATGCCATATTATGGGAAAGGACACCTGAGAGCAAAAGACAGGAGCAAAAGACAAACTGAAAACGATAACCAATATCTCAAAGTTAGAGGCACCACCCTCAGTGAAACAAGGCACTAACTAATTAATCCGAACAAGTCCTTTAAAAATGTAGTAGTATGATTGTCAGTTGCTGGGGGATCATGAACAAGAGAGGGCGTTGTGCTCACATTCTGTTTTTAGGCCTCCCATAGGCATCTGGTTGGCCATGTGGGGAAACAGGATGGGACTTTCGTTTGATCTTGCAAATCTCTTCCAAACAGTGAGATGAACAGAAGTCCTGAACAGAATATGCTTCAGGTGAGGGAGGGAGCAGGAAAAGTTGTACATTTGGGAGTGGGGCTTGTAAGGGTTGCCATTTTTTCATAATTTTTTTGCCAAAGCTGTTGAGCTTTTTTAGTCTTGCCCAGTTGAGTTTTTGAGCTACTGTATTTTTAATGATAGCTAAAACATCCAAGGAGGGTGCAAAGGGGAGTTGACATGGGGTGTGACCTAGGGAGAGGGGTGTGGCTGAGGAGGAAGGGTAGACTGGTGAGTCCTGAGAGCCACACTGAGAGAAAGGAAGAGAAAAATAAGCTGTATGAGTTGCCTTCCTCTTGCTCTGCCATCGGACAGCCCATTGTTTACAGTACAGGAGTCTTTGTTGAGTTGTGCATGGATTTTCCTGGGGTCTGCAATGCCCTACAAATGTTCTTACAAAGTATATCTGATTCCTGATAACTTACTGAGCAATGGCTGTGTGGAGCATGAAGGCACATTTTGAAGTCTTGAGAGAAAGAGAAGTTCTTTGCCCGGTATGTTCTTTCCCGCATGCAAAACCGCAGCTTCTTATCCCAAGAAAAGCATTGGGCTGACTGCAGAAAGAGCAGACATGCTGAGTTTAGAGGGATGGATAAAAAGACCTAATTGCATAGTTTGGCTAAGCAGTGGATAGAATAGGACTGGACAAATATGCAAAGGGTACATAAATACGAAGAAGGGAAAGGCATTCTTTTGCTGTGATATTTTAGTAATATATAATGAGAAGGTCTTCAAGTAGCAATAAGAAACAGTGAAATTTAAGTAGGATGTCAGAGAACAATAGATGAGCAAGTAAAATAATAAGCCTTTATACTATGGAAAATCTACAGAAATACCTGGATAAATCATACTAGGGAAAATACTCCTGCTAGGATTGCTATGGCTTGCAGATGATGATGATGATGATGATGATGAAGATTATTAATTGAATTTATATACCGCCCTATACCCGGGGGTCTCAGGGTGGTTCAAAGAATAAATAGATGCCCCTTTTATTTTGCATTCATTACGATTTGTGCTCATGATGATAATGGGGTAGTTATATGCAATCTGATTTAGGGGCCCTCCAGGCTGCTGTTTTGGCCAGGTCATTCAACACATCATTCAATTTTTCTGCAATGCTTCCCAAAGTTTATTGCATTATTGCTGTCTGTATGGGATAACCAGCCTCATATAACTAACATGCTGAAGTCTAATCAATGCATTAATTCCATAGAGTGAGCTGTCCTGCCAGGCTTAGTTATGCCTACTTCTCTTACTTTGGGAGGAAATAGGTAATCAGGCCTAGTGTTCTCCCCCAGTCCAGCTGATAAACTCAGTGTGTGAAGAGGCTAAATTGGTTGCACCAGCTGAGCTGCATGGTTCTAACAAACCTTTCCTGGGTTTAGGAACTTTCACCACTTTGCAACTAAGCCAGGGAAGAAGATGTATTTCCCTTTCTATGACTGGTTATGATTGTGTGAGATTGGGAAACAATGAAAGCATACAGAAAGGACGTGCCTCAAACTCAGCCTTGAGAGCTAGACATGTATACAAGATAACACAGTCGCGTACGCCAGAAAGGGCGAGCCAAAGGGTGATGCCCACACTGAGAAGGGAGTAAAAATGAATAGAGTAGATTGAACAATGTATTAGAAATATGTTAAACTCTGATAGGTAGATTGTAAGCCAAGCCTCCAAAAGAGGGGCGGCAGTAAGGGATAAAACTACGGTGCTGAAACCAGATCGGGGCTCTTCGTATCTGTGGGTACGGGGAGTCCGCTTTTGCAAACGCGCTGAATAAAAGGGTTATCCTCATATCGGAGTCCTAGTCCTTTGTTTCCACGTTTTAATATCTAACAATTCTGGCGCTCAACGTGGGGCCCTCGACGGGTTGCGTGGGGGAACTTGGATTCCGGGTTGGCGCCGCTCCGTTATTCGGAGAAAACCCGGACCTGGGTCTGCCCGCGACAGCTCACGAGGGCTAAAACAGGACTCGATATGCGGAAGTAGGGAGAACTCCAATTCTTTGGCGGTCCAGGACCGCGAGCACCCAGCGGGGACGCCCGCCTGTTCACTAGTTGCGAGAAGCGACGCTGGACTGTACTGGGTGAGTAGACGTGGGAAAGTGAAGAAACTTGTGGGCTGTGGAACGGGATGGGGGCGAGAGAATCGTCTCCTGAACGGAAGAGAGGTTCCATACGGACGCGTGAGTGTGGATCAGGGTTCTGCCCTGACGGGAGGATTAGCTTGCGGTTCCGTCTTTCCCGCGAGGGGAGCGGCCAGGCGATTCCGCGTGAGTGTGTGTGTGTGTGCGAGTCGGAGACACTGTAAACATGGGCAAGAGTCAGAGTAAGGGACAGAAGGAAGGGAATGGGAAAAGCAAAATCGACCCTAAGAGTCCGCTGGGCCAGGTGCTGATCCAGTGGGATGAGGACTATTTAAGGAAGTTTACTAAAAGTTTGATGAAAGTGACTATAATCAATTTGTGTAGGACCATTTGGCCAAAATATCTAATAGGACCGGAGGGCGGATATACTTGGGACCCCGAGGGGGAGACAGATAGATATTGGATGACTCAACTGAGAAATTATCTAGTACTCAATAAAAAAGAAAAGGAGAAACCCTATTTAGAGGTCTGGTTTCATACCCGGTTTTACGGACCTGATCCCCCGCCCGTCGGTCAATTTCCCTTTAGAAAAAAGGAGGAAGAATCAGATGAGGAAACACGTCCTGTCCCTTCTGCCCCTCCCGCAGCCGTGCAGCGGCCACCAACACCGCCGGTACTTCCTGTGGTCACAAGTCCCCAGGCTAGTGCCCGGTCAGAGGGAGAAAAGGCTCCTCTTTCTGACCAACTGGATGGGGAGGGTAGAAAAGAAAAAGGGCTGGATCAGACGGTTTGTTCACCGCCACCCTACCAACCATTATCTAGGGAGCTGCAACAACTGGAGAGGGATGTGCGGAACTTCCCACTCCCAGGGGGAGTGCCCCACGGTTCTCCGGGGTCTAATACATTCCGAGCATATAGACCAGAAAAGGGGTGGGGATTCTCTCAGACGGGGGGTCCGGGTAATTCTCCAGTCCACACTTTTCCCCTCAGAGAAACCCCCGGAGGGATAAACCAAGAAGGCCAGCCTGTAATGGTATATGTGGTTAGTCCTATCAAACCATCAGAACTCAGGGAGTTGAAACAGACGCTGCCCAAATTACATGAAAACAGCCAAGAGGTCGCGAACCTCCTTCAAATGTGGATGGGACCACACATATATACGTACACCGAGTTGATGTATATCTTAGGACACCTATTTACCCCCGAAGAAAAAGCAATGATTAGGAAGGCAGCAATGCAATTTTGGGAAGTCAAGGAGGCGCAACGAGTGGCCATGCCAGCCGTGAATCAAGGGGACCAACAGCCACCGGCTCCACCGGCTCCACCGGAGACCAAATTTCCTATAGGGGACCCAAGATGGGACATAAATAATGCAGGTCATCGGACTCACTTGATAGATTTAAAGGAGATGATTTTGGAGGGGATCAAACGGGCTGTACCCCAAAGTACTAATCTCACCAAAGCTTTTGAGGTTAATCAAATGAAAGAGGAGTCGCCGGGCGACTTCATACAAAGAATTAGAGACCATTTGACTAAATATTCAGGGGTGGCACCCGATTCACTTGCGTTTGACAGTCTATTAAAGATGCAATTTGTAACCAAAGCATGGCCTGATATTCAAAAGAAATTGCAGAAAATGAACTGGCAGGACGCCGCTATCATAGATTTAGTAAGAACAGCGCAGCAGGTTTATGTTAATAGGGAGGCAGTAAAGAGTAAGCAGAAGTGCCAGATGATGGCGGCCACTCTACAGAAAACTTGGGAAATTCAGAAGCAACAGGAAACCGAGACTGCCAGAGGGCGTGGGGGGGCACCATATCGGGGAAGAGGGAGAGGAAAGGGAGGCTACACACCAGGGTCCGGTATCATTTGTTATCGATGTAACAGGCCTGGTCACTTCGCCCGAGAATGTCGGACCCCACGAGAACAGATATTGGAAAGGAATGAACAAAGGCGGGAAAGCCAGAGGCCAAGACAGACAGAGGGGGAGGGAGGAAATGACACAACTGAGTTATTCAGTTTATATGATGAATAGGGAACCTCCGGCTCGCTCCATGGGACCCGGAATGAGCCACTGGTGAACTTGTGCGTAGGGCCCTCTCAGAAATCAGTAGTTTTTCTGATAGACTCAGGAGCAACCCGGTCCTCTGTATGTGTGCCTGTTCCAGGGGTACGCAAAACAATGTCAAACTTGAAAATAATAGGGGTAAGCGGAAAACCGAAGGAAGTCGGGCAATTAGAGGAAACCATTATAAGGAGAGGGGACCGGACGGCTAGAGGTTCGTTATTATTCATTCCCGAGGCAGGAATAAATTTGTTAGGGCGAGACTTGATGGTAGAATTGGGATTTCAGTTATTAGATTTAGATTCAGGAACTCCCATGTACCCCCTGCAGATAGAGGATGAGGAACAAATAGACCCGACGGTGTGGGCGGATGGGAAGATGGTAGGGAGACTGGGTATAGTCCCCATCAAAGTCACAGTAAAGCCAGGAATCACCCAGTCATGGACCCCTCAATACCCAATGACCAGAAAAGGGAGGATAGGACTACAGCCGGTGGTAAATGAGCTGATAAAACAGGGATTATTAGAACCCACCATGTCACCTTTTAATTCTCCTATCTTAGCGGTGCAGAAGAAAGATGGGAAATACAGGATGGTTGAGGACCTGAGAAACATAAACCGGATAGTGGTCCCTCGTTTCCCCGTAGTACCGGATCCATATACTCTCCT